GAAACGCGAAGCCCTTATTGGGGCTTCAGCAATTTCGTCAGTGCGTCGATGAGTACCTGTTCCGATCGGGCCGAAACACGCGACGCTGGGCGACTCGTTTCGTATCCCCCTTCGCTGTAGGCGACTTCCGTTCCGATATACCCTGGCGCGTAATCGCCGTAGGCGGCCATCGCCACGAAAAGATCAGGACGCATTTCCTGGGCAGCCAGTTGATACTCGACGAACAACTCGCCAGGCATGTGAACGACTCGGGCGTTTCCGAGGGTTAGGCACTCGATGTCGATTCCGTCGCCAGCATCGTGACGACGTTTCCAAGCCAGTTCGCGTGCCGCCTGAAAATGGGTCAGTCGATCAAGTTCCTTGTTTTGCAGTTCGGCGATAGCATCTGATTCATTGATATAGGGCGAAAGTGGTAGCTGAACTTCGACCGATTCCATGCTTACGTCGCTCGCTTGAATCGGTGACTTTTCCGTTGCCTCAAAGGCCTTTTGCATACCGTCTTCAACCTTCTTGGCCAGTACGGCGCGGTTTTCCTTGGCACCGTCGTTCCACTTGCCGGCGCCGATGTTGCCTCCGGCTCCGTTGAAGTGGATGTGGAACGTGCCGGTTTGTTCTTCACGTGCATTGCGAGCCATGCCAGGGAAGTCAGGGTTGGCCATTCCGGTGCGGTAATAACTTTGCGGGTGAGTCGCGTAATAGGTCATCACGATCAGCGGCTTTTCTTCGTTCCAGAAGCTGATGGCTTTGCATAACGGATCGATCAAGCCGACTGGCTTCGCACGAATTTCAGGATTCTTCGTGGCGGTGTAGCGGACGTACTTCACCTTGCCATCCGGTCCAAGAATGCGGCGGTTCGATGCGACTTCGTGGACTTCCGCTTTGCCCACACCAACGTGCGTTACCGGTTGCAGCGAAGCGATCGCGGACTTGGCGGCTTCGGCGGCACGTTGCTGCACTTGAGCAATAAATTCGAGGTCGAACATGTCATAGTCGAGATCGAATTCGTCAAAGACGGCCTGGGTAGTGGCATCGCAGCGTGGAGCGTCATGCTGATGAATCGCGTGGATGAGCACGTTCTCAGGCTTCGCTCCAATCGCTTCGGCGATCGCCTTCTTGAAATGCTTTTGAGAATCGCTTGAGACGCCCAGCCAATCAATAGAACACAGCACGTATGTTTCATCCGCTTGAAGGATGACCCCTTTCATGGAAAGGGGCGACTGGATTCCCTTGGTCGGATCGTACGCCAACGGGCTGCCGACCGGAGGAGACGCATCGATCGCGAAGGAGGCTACCTTCAATGTTTTGGCGGATGCCGCATTCAAGGAAACGCCCACGCAGCTAAGCGCGATCGTGAAAAGGGTGAACCGAAGTAGCAATTTGGTATGCATCATATCGTTGACTCGAAAGGGACTGAGAGGCTTGAAAGGGGCGGGATGAGGGGCTATTCCGATTGGGTGAGAAACGCGAGCAGATCAGCCATGGCCTGATGATCGATCACTTTTTCGAGGCCCTCCGGCATCAGCGAAGTGCCGGTGCTGCGAAGTTGATCGATGTCGATCCGCAGAATGGTTTCGGTTTTGTTGTCTCCTTGGACCAGCGTGATGGCGGTCGATGTTTCATTCGTGATGATGCCAGAAATGTTCCGCCCGTCGGTGGTCAAACAGAGGTAATTCATGTACTGCGGATTGACTTCGGCGTTGGGCTGAAGCACGTTCACGAGGATCGCTTCGGCACCGCGGTTTTTCATGGCGGCCAGATTCGGCCCGATCGGATGTCCTTGCCCCTGGTACTGATGACACGCAGTGCAGTGCTTCGTGAATACCGCTTGACCCCGCTCGACATTCCCGTTCAGTGAAAGGGCCGCGCGGTAGTCGCTGACGATCTTGGCACGGTCGGAATTGGTTTGTCCCTTTAGAATGTCGGCGAGCTTTCCACTCTGTTCGTCGTTTAAAATTGATTTCAAGCTTGCCAGTTGCGTCAAGTTGACATCGGACGAGGCGATACGTTTGCCGGCAATGGCATCGATTAGCTGGCCTGCCCAAGCGGAACGGGACGTAAGGACTTGAGCTGCCTGAGTTCTCAGCCCAGGCCCCAAGCTGGGCCATCGATCGAGCAGCAGCTTTGCGACTTCGGGCGAATTGGTCCGCTGCATGGCTTGCAGCGCGGCCGTTTGAATGGAAAGGGGCTGCGTTGGTTGAAGTAGCTCATCAAACAGATCGGCATCGAAATCTGCAAAGCGAAGCACTTCAATCGCACGGATACGATCTTCGGTCGTTGCTTTTTCATTTAGTGAGGTTTGGTGGGCATCGCGAATCATTTCGGCGATCACCATTTGCGATCCGCCAGAGGTTGCCTTGGCAAGCTGCTGAGCAAGAGGGCTGCCGGGGGAGGCATTCAGTTGCTTGACGATGGAAGTAAACCGTTTGGGCTGTTGGGTACGTAGCTGCGGAAGTAGAGCCACCAGCACAGCGATGTCATCTTGCCGCTGCTGTTTGCCAATCTGCCGGGTAACATCGTTTAGCAACGCGTCGGATTCGGGTGGCTGCTGTAGGTACTGAGCAAGGAACTCCCCTGCCCCTGTGGCAAGCGAACTTTGGATGGCCGCACGGAAATCTCGATCGTCTGCATCCGATTTGGCGATCTGAGTCAGGACTGCCGCTTTTTCCTGTGTCGGAAGGTATCCTGCGGAAAAGGCGACCTGAAATCTCACCTTCCGATCGGTATCGGTGGCCAACTGTTGAAGCTTGGCGCGGAGCGATTTGGACGCAGTCAGATGCGATTCGCTGAGACGTACCGCATGCTGACGAACGCGCGGATGCTTATCGTCCATGGTTGCGAGAAGCTGGGTTGGTGTCAGTTGATTCAAGCCTTCGAGCGCATACAGGGCGAGCAGTTTCGCCTCGGCGGTAACGTCCTTTTCAAGCAAATCGATCAGCGCTGGCGCCGCGGTCACGTCTTGACGCTCATAGATCAGCCGAGCGGCCGTTTCGCGTTGCCACGAATTGGGATGGTTCAATAGGCCAACCAATTCCGTGGAAGATAACCCCGATAGCCTTGTCGTCGGTCGACGTTGAAAGNNCGGTAGATCCGTCCCCGGTCACGTCCACTGGTCAAATCGAGATGCTTTTTGATCATCTCTGGAAGTGATTTGGGGTGCTCGATCACTTCGCGATACATGTCGGCAACATACAGCGAACCATCTGGAGCGTTGGCGTACTGCACCGGGCGAAACCAGATGTCGCTGGAGGAAACGAATCCTGAATTTTCGTCGACACGAACGCCTTGATAGACAATTCCGTTATCGACGAGTTGTTTTCGGTGAATCAGGTTGCTACCGACATCGCCCACAATCGCCATGCCTTGGTACGCTTCCGGCCAGCCATCGCCTCGGAAAAGCGTTACGCCGGTCGCTCCTGTGAAATAACCGGCCGGACGCCCTCCTCCTTCGACCACGCCAGGGACAATTTTATTGGCACGAAGTCTGGTCCGAATCACGCGCCAGGCCTCGACAGGGCTTGTGCGATAAACTTCCGCTTGGGGGCCGTCGGTCGCAATGCTGCGGCGAACCGGAGGAGCGGCCAAGTAAGGATTCCGAGCTAGGTAGCGGTCTTCGAGCACCACTTGTTGCAGATGATCGCTATTGCTGCACGTGAACTTTTCGCCCCAGCTGTTCATGCTCATCCCGTGCTGACCGCCGCCACTGATCGGGGTGAGGTCCCTCGCCAGCGGAT